GCCCGCCAGGAGGCGGAGGAGCGGTGGGCCGTCCACCAACGATGTCCAGTACCATCGCATGGCACCGCGAGTGAGAGACTCTCAGCCGGTTGAGGACCAAGCGGCTTAAAATAATAATAATTATTATTTATTTTTTTTCCTCTCTCGTATCTGTCTCTCCTCATCCTTACGTCTCCTTTTGTGATCGTCTCCCCCAGAGGGGTGGGGGGTGGGTGGTAGAGCGCAGTCTCGGGAGTACCCCCGGCCTGCGAGGGGCGATGGGGGTATGTGACGAGTGGGGCGGGGCCGAGAGCCGTGGGCTCTCAGCCGGTTGAGGAACAAGCGGCTTAAAATAATAATTATTATTATTATTTTTTTTTCCTCTCTCGTATCTGTCTCTCCTCATCCTTACGTCTCCTTTTGTGATCGTCTCCCCCAGAGGGGTGGGGGGTGGGTGGTAGAGCGCAGTCTCGGGAGGACCCCCGTTGTTTTGGTAAGCCTTTTTCTGCAAGCGTCTGAGAAATCGAGCGCCTCAGATTTCGCTCCCTTGATGACGTTGCAATGGGATCTCATTATAATATTACCGCCCCTTAATCTGTAAGTTTCCACCCATGGAGCCATCATTTTGATTCCTCTAGAGGAGGACAGAATACATAAATCAGTGTGTATACTACAATTTCACATGTTCTGCGTTTAAGAAAAGTGGTATTTGGTTGTGCAGAAGTTACAATCCTAGGGTGCTGTGGGTATTTGCCATAATGTGGTTGCTCAGGTGCGAGAGATTTCTCTGGGAAGTTATTTACTGGCTTCATTCAAAGAAGCAAAGATACAGACAAGCCACATGATTTGTTGCATCATTAATACCCATAATGCTCCCCTTACGATGAAGGTGAACAGTTAAGTCAGTATACCGTTCTGAACATTTCTATTGAAGACTAAGATTTGCATCCTGGGAGAGGGAATTTAACACACCTCTGAAGCTGAGCACGCCGCACAGCTTCCTGCAGTTCGAACAGTCGCTCTTTGTACTGATTCTTCTCCATGACCACCCGGGCCATTTCAGAACGAGAGAAGCGACGGAGGGAGGTAGGTAGCGAGGCCTGGAGAGAGCGAGAGAACTGATTTCAATGTTTCTAAGAAATAGAGGACAGTATAATTTCCAGAATAGTGATGTCATAAACATTTCTGAAATCTATCATAGACTTACATCAGGGTCCTCTGACTGGATTGTCTCAAGCTCTTTTCGTAACCTGTTTTAAAACATAAAAAGCCATTTCATAAAAAACATACATAACAAAACAAGCAAAACACAAACTGTTCCCTATTCATTTGAACCATTAAAAGTAATAAAACAGATCAAAATTACCATTCAAGAGCTTTGGTTCAGTAAGTTTTTTGGAGAAATCATTACTTTTATTCAGCAGGGACACATTAAAATTATCAAATGTAACTGTAAAGACAGTTATAATGGTACAAAAATAAATGCTGTTTCTTTTGAACTTTCTATTCACCAAAGAATGAAACAAATGTGTCGTTTCCACAAAAATATTAATCATCATGAATGTTTTCAACATGATGATAAGAAATGTTTCCTGAGCACCAAATGAGCATATTAGAATGATTTCTGAAAGAACATGTGACACTGATGACTGCTATTACATCACAGGAATACACTCATTTTAAAATGTATTAAAATAGAAAACAGTTATTTTAAAATTGTAATATTTCATAATTTTCTGTTTTTTGATCCTATACCAATACCAGATTTGAAACGGTACTGTACATATTTTTCTTAATCTCAATCCTATTAAATCTTCATCATTCTTAGTTCCTGAAAATACTAAGCAGTGTCATTGATTTTTGAGTTTGACTTTAAACTGTCATTTCTAATGTTAAGTATTTACTAAACTGCTGAAACTGAAATAAGTTGAGGTAAATACCGCTTGATTTCATCCTCCATCTCTTTGGTTTTTCCTTCCAGTCGGCTGATGGTTTCACGGCAAGAATCAAGTTCCATATTCAGGCCAGATCTCTCACTGGTCAGCTCCTCAACACGAGATATAAGGGCCTTACGAGCAGTATCCACCATTTCACTGAGACAGAGACAATGACAGGGATACACACATGAATAAGAGACACAGATAGAGGAAAAAACTGAATGGTTAACACACTAACCATTGATTGATAAGAAAAGCTGTATTCTATCTTACTGAGTGTGTTTTAGTTCCTCATATTGAGAAAGAATCTGCTCGAACTGGTCTGTGCTATCTGCAAACCAAACCAAAACACAGAGATTCAACCACACACATATTTAGACAGTGATGGATCTATATTAAAGTAAAGCATAATGTAAAGTCAGTTGGTTATTAGTGCTAAATAAACCTATTAAATAAACAAGGGGTTTTGAAATGATCCTGAAATGGTTTATTTTACAAAAAATAACCAGCTGACAGTACATTTTAATGCTTATTACAAGGCCGTACCAAAAAATAAAAAATAAATGAATGGACATGAAATATTAGCTTGGGGTGAAATTATTTTATTATATGAAAAGAAAGGGGCGATGGAGTGATACGTGAAACTAGCACAGTGTAGGAGAGCAACGGTCAAATTTACAGTTTAGTGGTCACTATACAAAAATATTTGAATGCTGCAATTGACCAATCAGAATCAAGTGTTCCCGAGAGCTGCATAATAAAAGCATTTAGCGTTTCTCTGTTGTTGCAGCCTGAAGTAATATGACTTAAACGAAAAAATTTTTGTTTGTGGTTAATAGGATTGATGCTGTTCTCCCTGTTTGCAATTGAAATTTCTTCTAAACAACACACATACATTCAAATTAAACACATGATCGTACCTCTGACACTGGCCCCCTGGTCGACGTTTTCTACATATTCCCTGCTGAGTTCAGATAACTCTGAAAACACAGAGTCTGTATTTCTCAACTCCCACTCCAAGCAATCAGAGTCATTATCCGTCTCTTCCTCCTCCTTCGTTGTTTCTCCATCTTTCACCTTCCGGTCTTCATCCACCTCTCTCTTATCCTCCTGTGCTTGTTTCATTTCATCAAACAAACTAGAGTTGAATTCAGAAGTTGCTGTCTTTGAACAAACAGGGGAGCTGGAGAGAGCAAAAGAGAGAGAGAGATAGAGGAACAAAAAGACAGATAAAAAAGATAACATGTTTATGGGAAATAGATTAATTATATGTATAAGAGAAATACAATAAAATATCATCAAATAATAACTCAGATTGTGTTTCTTCTCGTGTTTCCATGAAGGAAAAAATGACAATGAATCATCTAACATGACTTAAAAATAAACCAAATAAAATAACATCAACAGGATGTTACACACATTAAGAGATACAAACTCGCACTCACTTCCTGGATTCAGTAAGAGAAAAAGTGCAAGATAATAAAGAAAGAAAAGAAAGTCAGAAAGCACCTTTAGTTTTCTATTATAATATATTTTAAAATGTAATTTTTCCTGTGATAGCAAAGCTGAATGTTCATATACATTATATTCAACATTGTCAAAACTGCAGCAGTCTAGGACAAAACAATGAGATGTTATGGCCACTCTTTATTCATTTCTGTACCTTGTTTCAATAAAACCCTTCAAATGAGCCAGCTCAGGGGTGGAGCTTATGATGCCACTGATAAAGGACGGATCATTATTATGGTTAACTTCAGCATCTGTCACTTTGCTGTTGTTGGTCTCGATCATTTCTGACGCAGTGGAATCAGGGGCACCGTCAGCTTTTGGATCATGCTGCGAAATAAAAAGGGTAAACAAGATGATGTTGTGAAAGTACAGATATTAATTGTTTTATAGTAGACATTAATGCAAAAATATGCAAAGTACTGTTTGGAGAAAACATAGTTTGACTCCGCTGAATTACAAATAAATGAACCTCTTCAGTGGAGGTGTCTGTTTCTGCTTCTGAATGTTTGCTGTGCACATGATTCCTGCAAACAAAGAGAATTTCCTGCTGACACATAACAACACTGTAATTTTTAACTTCTCAAATGCACAGGAAATTATAGTCTTTTTTGCTAATCATGCCAAGCAAGAAATGTGTACCACATTGTTGGATTCCATTACCTCTCAGCTCAACTCATGAAAGGGGAAGTGTGTGTGTTACCTAAAAGTGAAGGCTTCACTCTCCCACTCCTTTTTCTTTTCCAGCAGATCTCGGTGTGTCAGTACTAACTGGATATTAAAAGAGAAGATTTAAAAATAAATTTCTCTTTCTAAAATATATAAGTAACCAACAAGCTAAAACAGATGCACAGACTTGAGAGATGACAGACCTTGTTATGTGTGTGTTTGATTGAGTTCAGCTCTCGTGTCAGATTTGCTTTCTGCTCCTCCAAAGCCATCACTACAAATAAAAGACAATGGTTACATACTTAAAATATACATTTATATAGACCATGCCAATGTGTCACCAATCTAGACAGGCGGACAGAGGGCAGAAGGGTGAAAGGTTTTATTCGGAGAGTAAACTCACATTGATCAGCTTGTTCCCTGGCTTTCTTCTCCAGCTCTCTTTCTCTCCTTTCTCTCTCCTTTTCTCTTGCACGCATTGCTCTCCTCTCTTGCTCAAACTGGTCATCCAACTCCAAATAGCGCTGATGGTATGTAGACAAGTTTAATTTTTAAAAAGTTTTAACATTTAAAAGGTGCAACTTTGTCATTTCCTTTCTAATTACAAAAAGTTCTGCACAATGAAATACATAATAAATATGTTTAAAATCATGCACACTCACATGAGATGACATCAGTTAAGATATATTATTCATGGTTGACTGCGAATTGTGCGAAATTTATATTTATTTCATAATAATATTTTTTATTATTATTATTATTGTTAAACTCAATGTAGTTGAATTAATAGGATGTGAATTAATTAATAATTACAAATTAATAATTAAATATTATAATGGATATTAAAAAAACAATGTGACCAATTTGAACAGAACTTATCCAGCCGGTCACAAATAGCTTTTTTCTGTTTATGGTGTATTAAGCTTTGCATAAACCGATAATTCCGATAAACCGATAATACCGATAAAAAGGGCCATGAAGGGGCCACTAACTCTGCCTATGGGTGTCAATATAAAATCCAAAACTACAGTACTGTAATATAGAGCACCTGAGTTCACGTTTAAAGTTGAAAAAAAAATAAAGCTTAAACTGTAAATTATTTTTAAAATAATTACATTTAAAAGGTTAAAAGGTCACAAAAGACCTTAAATTCTTCCTTCACACAGTTGTCTCTCACCTCTTGGCTCTCTCTCCTCAGGGTTTTCTCAGTCTGATACCTCTGCAGCAGTTCTTCTCTCTCTGCTTTCTCGCTCTCTGCCTCCTCCTCTCTCTCTCTCAGCTGAGCCCTGCAGCTCGCCAGTCCTTCCAGAACCCAGACGAGGATGGGCAGCAGGGACTCCACCACATCAGCTCCATGAGTCTCCACCACCGACTAAAAAAAAAACCTGTCTGAATCGTATAAAGCTTAAACTGTAAATTATTTTTAAAATAATTACATTTAAAAGGTTAAAAGGTCACAAAAGACCTTAAATTCTTCCTTCACACAGTTGTCTCTCACCTCTTGGCTCTCTCTCCTCAGGGTTTTCTCAGTCTGATACCTCTGCAGCAGTTCTTCTCTCTCTGCTTTCTCTCTCTCTGCCTCCTCCTCTCTCTCTCTCAGCTGAGCCCTGCAGCTCGCCAGTCCTTCCAGAACCCAGACGAGGATGGGCAGCAGGGACTCCACCACATCAGCTCCATGAGTCTCCACCACCGACTAAAAAAAAAAACCTGTCTGAATCGTATTTGTTTTCAGCGGTGTACCCCCAACACATTTAACGCTCTTATCTTAGTGGGCAGCTGCACTCACAGGAAGAGTGATACTTATGACTTGTGCTTATAAAGGGGGAAAATACTACGGTTCACTTCCCTTACGAAAAGTCAGCAACGAGAGCATCTGCTCTCTGAACTTAACACTTGTGAAAAGTGGCAAATGATAAAAATGCCTCTAAAGGTCCTGTTTACACCAAGAACAACAATGTTCTGTTTATTATGCATCTGTATCTGCAAACTTCACATGCTCGAGCTCCTTGAAATCAAGCGGATTCTGACTGTCAATGTTTTTATCATTCATCAGCTGGAAAAAAGAGTTCTGCAAGTGATTCCAACAATCGGTCATTATCGTTATAGTTGTGGTGTGAATTTCCCCATTCTCACAGAATTAGAACAATTTTAGAATGATCGTTCTCATGATATTTATCATCCTTGGTGTGAACAGGCCTTAAAAGTTATTTTAATTGGTGGGTGAATAAAGGTGGATACTCTTAATTGGTTACCTGCAGCTCCGAATACAGTTTCCCCGCCTCCTCGCTCACAATATCTGGATCCAGCTCCAGTTCTCCACTTCCACAAAGAGCACTTTCACCATAATCCATGTTTCACAGCTCTCCGTTCTCTGACTGGCTTATTTAACGTCACTATAATTTGAATGTACCCCCAGTCTTGCTGTTGAACTTTGCTATTCAACCCAAACCTCTTCCTTTTTATCACACGGTTTTCACTACCTTAAAATGGTTTCAGCGTGAACCAAAACAAGCATGAAAATAGTATGGTAGTGTGTTAGTGACAGCATGTGCATCTACTGAAATATCTCTTCTTGCCCCTATAAATATCTACCTGAGAAGCAGAACTATTTTCTTAAGCCACATGGTATTTCCAGTTAATTCCTCCTCTTCCACGCTTCTCGTTTTCTGTTTCACATTCATTTTCAAAACCTAAACTGACTGAAGTCATCGGAGTTAGTCGGCACTGCTCATGTCTGGAGGTGTTTTGGTGTCCATTCTGGTGGAATACAAAGGGTAGTAACATGCGTTAGTACAAACCATTTTGAACAACTTGTCATTTAAGCACTATTAATACCCCACATTGACAGCAAGACTACATGGACTATTCAAGTGAACCATAAAATGGGGCAACCAGTTACACAACCTAAAATATATTTCTCTAATACGTTTACATAAATGTTAACAGAAATCTCGTCCATCTTCATGATCAACAACTCCAAAACGTGTTAAGCTCAACTGTTTGGTTGCATTTTTAGATCTAATGTTGTCAAATCATACAACTTAACTTTTGTTATTAAATTGTCCGTCGCTCACCCAAATATAATGCTTGTTTTTTATATAGATATGTAAATACATTTTTTATATTCTTTGTCTAGTTCACCCTAAATAGTGAACAAGCTAGTGAATAAATTATTTAAACGACTAAAATAATAACAACGCCAAGCAAATGTGTGCACATACTGTATGCAAGCATATATAAGCACGCACACACATTTATAGTCCCATAAAGGCACACACGTCTCTCAGACTCAAAGAAACATTACCGCATGAATAGAAAGTACAAAAATAAACTTTAATATTCAAAGGCAAATAAACATTGCGTGGCGTCGGCAAACACCTTGAACGCAGTCTGCCTGTTCCTGCATTGACACTTGCTCTTTTAGCGGTACATTTCACCAGTAAACGATTATTTATTGTGATTATAGCATATTTATCAACTCACCTTTACATATCAGTGAGGCTCGGACACCATGTCTATAAGTTCATGCGGATGAAATTCAAGTCCTTCGCTTAAGAAGCGATATCAATTACTCTAAACAGGTTAAAGAAGGAGGCGCGGTTAGAGCGTCAGCAGTTTGAGTGACGTTAGTCTGGACCTATCAAAAAGAAGATCGCTGAATAAGAACCAATAATTATGCAGAAGAGACGGAGATGGGCGGGGTTTCTCCGACGAGAAATGAAAACTTTCCTGAAACTTGAACGTTGACACGTGATGGCTTATCATGTGACTTCTGGGTAGAAAAACACACCTGGCTAAATACTCCACATTCCAGTGTGTGTTTGAGAAGTTTTAGAAAATCAAAGGTTGAACGGTTTTATCTTGACCGAGTTTACCACCGTTAGCTTTTAGGTTTGCGTTCATGTGTATTATGACCTGCGACGCTCCCCAGGCAGCACACTATCAGATTTCCCCCGCTGCTGTTTGACAGGAGAGGAAACCGAAAGAGGTCTTCTGCTGCTGGCACTGACTCAACACAAGAATAATGGGCACACTGGACGAATACGGTACACTGGCAACAACGTTAGCATTTTAAAATGATCTCTTGAATTATATTACATTCATTGTAGTAAAAAAAAATATTGTTTTATAATAATTAATGCCAAAAATGCTATATTTTGTCATGATATTTTCTCATTTTATATTTGTTTGCGCTAACTGCATTTGTCAAGCTAAAACCTTTACCTATTTTGTTGCAAAAAATAAAATAAAATATAAATCTTTAATTTATTGGATTTAATTTACTTTATTTTAACTTTAAATGTTACGCATTTTGTCTATATTTAATTTAAATGTTAGTTTTTTTTAATGTATATAGGTGTAATATTGTGACGTCAAAACCAATACAGGTATAAAACTGTATTTAGACATTCCTCATATTTGGTAACAATTTTTTCAAAGATGGCAATCCCATAAGAAAATAAGTAAAAAATAAACCAGCCTAAAGAATAACAATATAAGCGTCAAATCGACAATTGTTTAATTATTTAAATATTCAAGCATCAACAATTATGGAATCGCACATTAATTTGTCTGTAATTGCTTAAATGCGATTATAGGTCCATCCTAGTTACTGTATATTTAGAGCAACTGCATTTTTAACTGCATTTAATCTATATTTAGAGAACATAAAGAAATGATGATGGTAATGGTATTGTTATTATATGCAGTTTTATAAAGTGGCATGTTCCATTAATAAGAAAACCTTCTCAGTGAAATGAAATGGCTGAGAATTATATCACAAAATAAATTCGGTGTATAGCAGCCTTATTTAAACAGATAAAGCTATAGTGACATTATATTGGTTCTCAACATCGGTGTCAACATATCTGAACACTAAACCAGACTTATCTGTTGATGCAGAGAACCATTAAAGGGGTCATATGATGCGATTTTAATTTTTCCTTTCTCTCTGGAGTGTTACAAGCTCTTGGTGCATAAAGAAGATCTGTAAAGTTGCAAAGACTAAAGTCTCAAATCCAAAGAGATATTCTTTATAAAAGTTAAGAGTTAACCACTCCTACCTTAAACGGCTTGTTCTAACACGCCCCCACATGTCTACATCACTATGTGGGAAGATTTGCATAACGCCGCCCAAATGTTCACGCAAAGAAAGAAGCAAAAAATACAGTATAAATCATTATAATCTGTAATTATGTCCCCACTGGATGCAACAAATGCCTCGTTTATAATGGGTTTTCATGATTTTTGCATTGTCGCTCCGGCTGGGACACGGCATCAACAGTATGTAAGGGGCGTAACATTTCCGTCTCACGCTTGAGGTGTTCGGCCAATCACAACACACTGGATAGCTGGCCAATCACAGCACACCTCGCTTTTTCTGACCGATGAGCTTTGTAAAAATCGACTCGTTTCAAAAAGGCGGGGCATAGAGGAGAAACAATAATGTACAGTATGTGGAAAAT